TACTTTAACCCCTATTATTTATGTACTATAAATCCGTTGGTATATTTTATTCTTATTATTGTTGACATTAAATTGACAACGATAACTAATTTTGTTTACTAAAACTGATTTATTAAAACTATATAGTGAGGTGGAAAGTTGTGTGTTTCGCTCGGGAGCAAAGTTGTTTTTTCGTCTCGTGGCTTGAAACCCTAGTTACGCTCAGGATCTTGTTTTTAAACCAATCGATTTCCTCGTGGTTCAATCTAGGGTTTCTTCGCTTGCTATGGTGTCAATACAAGCACTCGCGCCAAACAACAACTTTGCAGCCTTGCATAACAAATACCTAACTATATTTATCTCCACAATACAAAACAAAGGAATAAATATCATAGGTTACGTTTTTATTAATTTTTCGGAGCAGCTTAAAAATTTAATATCTTGTTTTAGGCGCATGTTTCCCGTGGTCAAGGTAACGGCAAGTGGACTGGACCCCACTGCTATGTATACAGTACTGTTGGAATTTGTACAGGTGGACTCACATCGCTGGAAATATGTTAATGGGGAATGGGTACGTTATTTCATATAATCCAAAGTAATAATATTATAAATGCGAAAGTAACCCTGTGTGTTACGTTTTCACGCCTAAACCGCGGAACCAATTTTGATGAATTTTGGTATAGAGATAGAAGGGACCTAGGAGAATGATAATGGCTTCTTTCTGTCACAAAAATAAATCTTAAAATGAAAGTTTGCATGGAAAACCAATCAAATTATAAAAGTTAGTAAAGTACAGTACCGGCTACTCTCATTACTTATTCTACGCAGACGAAATTGCGTGCTCTAGCTAGTTCCAATGTATAATTTAAGAATGAAAATATTATGTACAAAGTTTTTAATGTATGGAGTTGGTAGACGGCATAGATATCACAATGATATTTTATTTTAATTTTATTCGGAACAACTACAGCTATACTATGATAGAGAGATTCTTTGGTTATGTGTTTGTTCGGCAGAAGAATATTTACTCTAGGTAATATTTTTTAATATTAATTAGCTTAAAACAAAGTCCACTTACAACGCGGCCACTTACTTGATACCTACTATACTTACTTTTCGTGGAATTATGTCATTGGAAAAACTATTCTTGGAAGACATTAGATGATTGTGTAGGTAACTACGGGTATAACGTGTCTGTAGTGTGACCTCCGAATGATAAATCAAAGAATATGATTCACGACTGTAAATACTTCCGTCGAAAACAACTTTAGCAGATTATTAATATTTGTTTAGTGTAGTTGTACAAAAGTCATTTGTATTATATAATTTTTCATGAACTTAAAAAAGTTCGTTGTATTTTTTCACGCTATCCGTCTCAACGGGAAACGGTAGGTTTTGAATTTAAATTTTCACAATTTGGTGTTAGTTTTGTCTAGTGTTCAGTCTAGTTATCGACGTGCGAAATAAATCTATTTATGAATAATAAAAATACGTCTTATCCATACTTATTTATGAATACATTTATTTTCAATTTTCGAATACAAAATATAAAGTCCACAACGTCTCTACGGTAAAAAGTGAACTTGTTTAACTATTTTGTTACTAAAGGTGCCGGGAGGAAAAGCAGAAGTACCACCATCCAATGCAATATACATACACCCAGAGAGCCCCAATTTCGGCGCTCACTGGATGAAGGAACCCATTTCGTTCGCGAAGGTTAAACTCACCAACAAAACAAATGGAAATGGTCAGGTAAATATTAAGATTACGAATCATTCAAATAGTTATTAGGTAAGTCTGAGAGAATAAAAGCTCAAATAATGAACCCTGCCTTAGATATAGCCCCACCTCAATATTCATTGACTCCAGATGTATCTGCATAATCAGTTCACAGTATTGTCGGAATACTAATTCCCGATAATAGAAAGCCCGAGATCCGAAGGTGTTACCGTGCTACAGTTTCGTAGCTACCGCTATTTCGACGAAGCTACCCGTAGTTCTCACGGTTGAATGTGGTGCGAATGAATATGAAAGCAAACACCTGATACATCCAGATCCATATGTTGGCGTCTCGGTGTGAAATCTGTAGCTTTACCAACTGTTTAGCGGGTGTTCGTATAGTACTATCATTTGTAATAATTATTGTCTCTTCGCTATATTTACTCATCTGTTTTTACGTTGCACGCCCCTATCGCAAATAATTACGATTAATAATTCGATAATCGATTAAATAATAGTATATTATTATTTATAAACCTATGTAATTTCTATTCTATTGAAAGCTGAAAAGAATTCCATAGTAGTCAGTGAGATCTAAAAAGTCACAGTGAAGTATAATAATTTATTAAAAATATCTTTTTTTTTCTTCTAGATAATGCTAAACTCTCTCCATAAATATGAACCTCGTGTGCACCTTGTAAAAGTGGGCACAGATCTACGTCGTATTATGACGTATCCGTTCCCCGAGACGCAGTTCATAGCCGTAACGGCGTATCAGAATGAAGAAGTGACGTCATTGAAGATTAAATATAATCCTTTCGCAAAGGCTTTCCTTGATGCTAAGGAGAGACCTGAGGGGTATTACCAGAGAGACTTCGTAGGTACACATTATCCGCAGCAGAGTTCTTCGCCGCATCAGTATCCTCAATGTAAGCTCAGAGGGTGGACACTGTTGATCATTGCTTAAGTTGCTACATTTATTAGTTTACAAATTAAAATTTGTATTCTTGCAGTTGGTGGTTGGTTTGTCACATCGCAGCCCTTGTACGGCAGTAGTAACTCTTCGTCAAGAAGGCCTGCGCCCTATCCGCCGCGACCACCTTCTCGGCCACGAACATTGTCCCCGCCTTGTAAGTATATCATCATTTACATGCTAGGAAAAAATATTACCTACTCAATTGAAACAAATTATGTCTATAATTTTTTTATATGATACCAAGTGAAGGGACGAAGAAGTCGTGCACCTGGTAGTAAGCGACACGCGTTTTCATAGCAGTGACGATTCCATTAATATGCACTGCGATTTCGCTCGTCACTGAGACTTATAATAACTTATAAGTCATATGTGCCTGTAATTTCACCAACTCCCTTACTGCTACTGCTTGGTGGCAGAAATATGTCACATGGCTGATGGCAGTACTTCTCGGGATGAACTTTTTCACAAGTAGCTCTACTGCTATTAAAAATATGCTAATATTCTTTTCACAGCTTCTTACAGCAATACAGAGCGTACGACTTCAGCTGTAGCAAATAGCAGTAGCAGTTATACGTGGACTGGCAGCAGCGCCTATTGGAGCTCTACTCAGGGCAGCACGTCCCCGCAACCAAATACCTCTCCTACCCCGTACCGTACCCCGCCTCACGCGTATTCTGCTCCTATCGAATATACCTCCACACCACCTACAAGTACGCCCGCACCGACGTCCGCACCAACGCCGTTGTACCCTCTTCAGTACGAAACGCCAGCGCAACACCACTCACCCTACTACCAACATGCATACGCACCGTATGCACATCATGCGATCGAAGACATTTCATATTGGCCTAACAGGTTAGCGAAACATTAGTAGGTATAGTGTAAAGTATCTATGACCCTAAAGTCTTTGTTATGATCCAACTTTAACACCCAACACATTCGGTGTGAGAAGTTTTAGCGCAATTATATTTTGTTGCTTTGTTGCTTTATGGAATGTTTAAGAATCTATTTATCATTATTATATTATTTTACAGTCTGAATAGCTATGGCTATCAGCCGTCGGAATATGTTGGCGCTGGTGAAGTGGCTTACGGATCTGAAAGTATGGCCTTCGGACCAGCTGGACCCTCTTTAGAAGCAGCCCCTGCTGAACCTAGGGCCACTCCACCGGGTTCTGAACACGCATCTGGAGAACGGGAATATAAATTCAGCACGGAAGAAGAACGCCACTCGCCTTGTGAAGAATCCACTCTTCCACCACGATCCCCTAATCAATGATTAATTTATTTCTTATACTCACTACCTTAACGCGCGTTCAATAGTACTTACCTTTTTCAACTTATGAGCGCATGGATTCGGCATTTTTAGTCAATAAATAAGATTTTCAGTGCAAATAATATTGCATTCAAGTTATTTTTTCTATGAAAAGTGTGTATGGGAATAATATGAGTATATTCCATGAAAATATTTAACCGGAAACTTGACATGAATACTCTTGAAAGCAAATAAAGAAACGCGTGTTTTTCTTTTTTCCTAACTACATTTTATGGAGTCACCACACTTATTGACACGAAATCGCATTAAACCCGTTAAAAAAGCTTTGTATAGGTAAAAAGAGCGAAAAAAATGTGCGTTTTGTGTTGATGGTCGGAGCGGAAGCGAAACGCCCAACCTCTTTTTGGTCCGTATTGCATGGGTATAAAGGTTTATCTAGCCGGATTAATGCGATTCTGTGTCAATAATTGTAATGATTAACTAAACGTTAAAAATATACAGTGATCACTCTTTATTTAATTATAAACCTCGTCATATGTTGCATCTTACAGCCTTCGATCATATGATCAAAGCTTACAGCCGTTGTACCTCGTTCGCTATAAGATTTACAATAAAAGTGTGTATGAAAAAATATGGGAAAAAACACGTCGTCAATGTTGTATTGTCAATCAAACAATTTTTGCACTTTTCGTTCTAGATGATGGCGTGAGACCACCATCTCAAGAGTTCACAAAATTAAGGTTTTATTTAGGGCCACCAGTCTATGTACATTCCTGTTAAATTTCAATACTCAATGTCTTTTTGGAGAAAAATAACTTTTTTATATCCCTAATGAATGATTGAATGGATTATTGTTTGTGTATGAAAATTAGTCTGTGCTCAACACAACAAATTTTCCACTAGGCAACAAAATGTAGAATCGCCTATTTAGGTAACCTAATTTTAATTGGTAATAATACTTATTGAATATTTTTAAATGGCAATTATCGTACTGTACATAGCAATATTTTATAAAGCAGTATACGTTAAATTACATTTATTTGAAAGAAATAAAATGTGTTTATATATTTGATAATTAGCCTAATACTGGAATGAAAAATAGGCAAAGAGAGATTCGTTATTTAGATTCGTTACTCGTATTACTATAACAATAAATTGATTATACATAATTACTTATATTTTTATATTATTTCAAACAGCAGCATACCTTTCGAGTTTGACTCCTACCGGGGGCTTTCACCACTCTTCTTCAGTCTTTTCGATCTGTTCATGTCATGTGAAGTTGTAGTTTATTATTGGGTAATGAATCATCATCAAATGTAAATAAAACTGTGTGTGTAAAACGTTGTGATTAGCTCCGGCGCTAGCCTATGCAATCCCGGGTGCAATCAATACCCTGGCGTAGGTATGCGATCAAAATGGAATACTTACATTTTCCCCAGTGATCGGAAATTCGGGTGCAAATGGTGCGATTATAAATGTATTGGGAAGCAATAGCCCGTTGACTTTGCAAGCACCGTGAGTAGTGCTAACAAAAGCAGAAAATTTTCTTGATCTTTATCCGACAGCGATGTGCTTTCTTTAAAATTTGTGTAGAAAATAAAACATGACCGCTTTTGGTGTCACATTGGCCGCCTTAGCTCCGCTATGCCGCCACGGACTACAGTATAGTACGAATTCGTTCCCCGCAGGTACGCCCCCGAACTTATTTTCCCGCTGTACCGCCTCTGTGTGGCCTGAGCTTAAGACATCCTGCACCATGGGTAAAGTCGTCACTGATTGTGATGAAACCTATTATGACGGATAAGTTTCACAAAAATCTTGGAAATCACAAGTGCCAAACTTGAATCCGGCCAGCATGGTGGACTAAAACTTATACACCTTCCTTAATGTTGACTCATATCGTGCAGCAGAATAAATCCAGATTGAAGATAATGATACCTACATAAATTATTATCAATGAACGTTTAGATAAAACAGCGTCTCTTCGTATTACTTTACTGCTCTTATGTTTCTTGTATCTATGTCAAAGTCAATTAATATACTTTTAAGTAGAACAAAATTTCTTTGTATTATTTAAAAAAGTTTGTAAAAGCAAAACTTTAATCAATTGTAGATTGTTATCGTAATTTTTTAATTCAGCGTTTTCGATAATTTCAATGCTGAATAGTTATTTATGACCTATTTTTTGCGCATTGTATGTACTTTTATATTATATCATGATGTCGGTCCTTCGTTAATGTTTGTTTAAGAATCTAAGGCTCGTATTCTAGAACTTTACTCAATGCTCAAGTCAAGATTGCAATGGAAACTCAAGCACTGGAAATACGACCCTAATGGCAGGGACTTGAGTATGACTTCGAGTGCTTTAAACCATACTCAAATCCTGACTTGAGCATTGAGTAGAGTTCTAGAATACGACCCTAAGGGTCGTATTCCAGAACTCTACTCATTGCTGACTTGAGCATTGAGTAAAGTTCTAGAATACGACCCTAAGTATATTATACTAACCATAACAAACTGTACATAAAATAATAGCAATAATTATTTTCCATGTGTATACTTATTAAGATTTATAGTTGCTGCCTAAAATTAGGTGTTGACAATAAACTTGTGTTTCTGTTACAATGTCTATTATTTTTTAACTTAAGGATTATTAACATAACGGTTATACTGGGTCTAATCGTTAAGTGTGCCTATGCGATTATTACCCAGGTAAATTTAAGAGATTTCAAAAACTTTTAAACTGATATCGACAATTCGTTGCCTAATGAGTAAAATGACAATAATACCTTTATTTTTATAAAACTAGAAATATAAAAAATATTAACGTTAATCGCTTCCTAATCCGCCGCACAGGCAGGAGACAGCTCACACACAATCCTGGGTATGGCCGACGTATTGAGTCTCGCAGGACGCATTGCAGGATTATAGCATGGCTTGCACGCTGCGACTACATTTATAATCCTGCATTAGGCGGCAGACGGCAAGGCGGACTGCAATGCAGAATAATGAATGCCCCCTTATACAATTAATATGGCATTCGTAGAGAAGCTTTAGTCTCGAACAACTACTTATAATACAAAATGTTGTACTTACTTAAAAATAAACATAATTTTGTTTTTATTCAATTATAAAAGTTAGTTTTATTAAGGTCAGGTGGGGTAAGAGGAACACCGGGGGAAGAGGGACTAACATCCATAATACTCTTAGAATAATAACGCATAGAAGGATAGTTTCATATCAAACGAACTGTCACAAGTGAGGCAAAAACCAAATTCATGTAGGCGTAAGCAACTTGTAACTACGCTCGTCGGCACGCACACAAATATACAAATAATGATGCCATGGAATAACATTTCCCTCAAAAGTGGGGAAATTGTATCTTGCTTAACTCATCATTAAGTTACAGGTGCCTACAGATTTGCCCGACAATGTCGATCAGGTGCCTACAGATATGCTCGGTTTTGTCGATGAAAAACGAATATAGCACTTATTTGTAAATCCAAGATGGCGGACACGATTTTTCAAAATATGCTATATGGGTATCCTTTTCGAGGTATTTGGGGATGCTCATTACGAATATGGCACTCATTTCTAAATCCAAGATGGCGGACACGAGTTT